TCAAAGAAAATGATTTTTTAATGAAACAATACAATAAAAAAGTCACAACCTTAGAATTTAATCTCTTTAATAAAGATTGTTGTAGGTTCATTAGACACATTCACAAGTTTAGATTTCTTTCTTTTTTTTCTTTCTTCCATCCTTTCATAAATAAAGCTTGCTTCTTTGGCATAGTTTTCTGTAGAAAACCTTATTAAAGACAAAGTATTTTTATCTCTCATCAAAGTACTTTTAATGGTTTGATTTCACTGATGCAAGGTGATTCAAACATAGGCTTCATTGTATATTGAAGGCTATTTAATTTAACCTCTTTTGCGTACCATTATTGAAAGAGGCAAAATAAACCTTAAAGACAATGGCATTAACAACATGCCTTGAAACCATTTTGATTCTACATTGAAGGTTTCATTTTTTTTCTACTCAATGTACAAAAGAGGAAACTACTAGAAGATCACAAGTTCTATGTCAATGTTCATATTGGTTTGTAATCATTTAAGCCTTGTAATTTAATAATTATATACAGTGCAATGCCTTTTGAAAAAATGTAAATTCTTGCATGTTTACTTAAAACCTTGGATCAAGGAACCATGAAACACCAGTTATGTTTTTTAGGTTACTGTATGAATGTTGGATATAAATACATGTTGAATATGTTTGATTTTTCTTTTATTAAGAGGTTTTCTTTATATTTGGAGGCTCATGCAATCAATCGCTACCTTGAGGTGTCAACTAATCTTGTAAATATCATGGAAAGTAAAGAGTTGGATTTATATATGTCATGACATTTCAAGACCAATGAGGAACCCGAATGTCGAACGAATAGGGAATGAGAAAAATAGGAGCTTAAAAAAATACTTTTTGATAAAAATCAAAACAATGAGTCGCCACCAATCTTTTTAGGGTGTGATTATCATTTTTAAGGTGTGATTAGCCACCAAAAAAATTTTGTCATTTGAATAAAATATTTAAAAGATTTAAAAGTTTTCTAAAAAGAACAAATTTGTAGTCTACACAATCAAATTTAGGGTTTAGAGTCGGTTACACGTAGGGAGGGATTAGCATTCCCATAGCACCCGTTGAATACAGTACTAATTGATTGCATATTATCCTTGAATTTTGTAAACATGGTCCTATTACAATGTTTAGAAAGTAATTCCCCTTTCCATTCCAAAAACTTGAATTTTGTTTTCCTTTTGAAAACAAACCAATATTTTGAAAATAAAATATTTTATTTTTGAATCAAAGTAAAAACACTTTAAATATCAAGACAGTTTTTTGCTCTCCTATATTTAGGTAGAGTTTTGAAAATATCATTAATTTAAAGGATTTCAAATTATCTCAGAAAAATTGAGATAATACCTCAAGTAAATAATAACCACTGAAAGTTTTCCTATAATTAAGTTAGATCTTGATAACTATATTTAGTTGAAATATTATCTTACTTGAAAATATTTTTCCTTTGAAAACATATGCATGGTATGCATAAAGATAATCAAAATGAATGAATGCATGAATGACATGATATGAATGCATGATGATTAAAGAATGAATGAATAAATAAAAATGAAACATAAATGTATGGATGGGGCCAAAGGTTGATTTTAGGGTTTGGGGGATTGATTTGAGTTTTTAGGGTTTGGGATAGTTTTATGGTTTAGAGTTTAGAGTTTGGGAGGTTTAGGTTTAGTATTTAGGATTTAAGATTTAAAGTTCAAAAGGTTTAGGATTTAGGTTTTGAATTTAAATTTGGGATTTAGGGTTTCATGGAAAATGCATGTATAGAGGTAATATTAGAAAAATGCCATTGGTAACATTGTAAATATGAATGCATAAAAAATGAATGACTAAGGTGCAAACTAATTACGAATTTAACTATTTCTAAAATTAAATTACAAACCAAATGTGCATGTGAATATATGATGTAAATGGATTAAAAAAGCCAAACATTAATAAAAAAAGCCAAACAAGCCACCAAAACAACATTTTATTTATGAAAATTAAATAAAAAATATTATAAACTTGATGAACAAACTCAAAACTCATGAAAACACATAAGAATCAAGCAACATACGACCATGAAATACCAAAGGGAGATTTGGCTCAAGCATGGGAGGCTTGGCTAAATACTCCCATGGCCTCCCACAAACACATTTTGATTTTGTTTAGCTCAATCATGCATCAAACATTAAGATGTTTATCATGTAGAGACATTTTGATTATAAAAAGAATTTTATCAAATATATAATATGCTTAAATAGCAAGGAAACCATGTAAACAAGAAGACAAACCCAAACACCAACTATATACTAATAACTAATCAAAATTTATGCAAATTACAAACAAACAAATCATCTAAACATCATAAACATCATTTGAAAGCAAAAAATAATCAAAATGAACCAAAAAGAGGTTCGGCCATGAAAGATTCAAGCTTGGCTGAACCTTCAATGGTTAATGGTGATTTTTTTTTCTTTTGTCCCAAATCAAGCTATGAACTAGTTGATTAAGTTTTTAGATCAAATTTGCAGCTAAAAAAAAAAAAAAAAAAAAACTAAGGATTTTCTCAAAAAAATTAAAAATAAAAAAGCTAAAATGAAAATGTTATGAAAATATAGTAAAAATGCAATTGAATGCACGAAAGGATTATACCTTCTCCAAGCATTCAAAAATTCTCTATTTTTTCTTCCTTTTTTCACGTTACTGTCCAACTTTCTTCCCCTTTATTCTCCACGTGAATAACCCATGAAGAAGATGAAAAAATATCCTTCAAGATTAAATATTGGCCCTTAGATCAAAAACCATCTAATGGCTTACATTTCTCCCTTATTTTTTATTGCAAAGAGCAAACTTTCACTCTTAAATCAAGATTCCCAAAATAATCCAATGGCTTAAGATGCTCATTGCCAAAGGTTAGAATTTTAAAGTTCTTGGGTTCAAGTGAAAAAATCATTTTACCTTAATTACAAAGTTTTTGATCTTTAGGTAATTTTTTAAAAAATCAATGCTCTTATGTTTATTTTAAGATTTTAAAGCACCAAAAATCATGAAATATTATGAAATTAAAATTTGAAATTTTCGTAAAAATATAATCTTGGAAATATCAAATTACAAAATTACCCCTAAGAGGTATTTAGTAATTTCAAACCTCCCAAGGTACTGCTATAGTTTTGAATGCACCAAAAATCATCAAATATTATAACAACATGATCTGAAAAGTTTCATAAAAAATTGATTTCAAGAAGGTTAAATTACGAAATTACTCTTAAGGGGTATTTTGATAATTTATACATTTTGAGATACGATCAAGGTTTTCAAAATTTTAAAAATCGTCAAATAATATCAAATAATGATCTAGAGTGTTTCGCAAAATTTCAATCTTAGAAAAGTCAAATTACAAAAATACCTCTAAGGATATTTTTGTAATTTCACACCTATCAAGGTGTGATCTAGATTTTTAATACATCAAAAATCCTCTAAAAATATTGAATTATGATATGAAAAGTTTCATGAAAATTCGATTTTAAGAAGACTAAATTATGAAAATACCCATAAAAGGTATTTTCATAATTTTACCATTCTCAAGGTATAATCAAGGTTTTTAGTGCTTTAGAATCAAAACTTTCAATCTTAATCACATTGGTTTCAATTTGCTTGTGAATTTTAAGAATTGATCCAAGATTCATTTGTTTGGACTGATTTTTTTATCAATTTTGATTAAGTTTGATTTCATTTGACTAATTTTGGTCAGATTTGACCTTAGGGATTTGGATCAAATTGGCTCCAACTTTGATTTTAAAAATTTATCAAAATTAAATAAATATTAAATTTGAGTCAGGTTAAATTTTATGCACTTCACATGATCTTATTAAGACAAAATTAGATGTCAACATTTAAAGCACCCATATTGTCGTGGCTTTGTATACAATAACCGGGAAGGTGAAGAAGTATTGACAAAGACAAATTTATGACATCAAGATACAATTGGCCAAGGAAAGGTTCAACATCGTCAGTGCCATGCGTTTTGGTTTAACATGATGTATATATATTTAAAACCAGAATTTACGAGATTGGTGTTGATGAGGGTGTGAATTTAGGATGTACTTAAACCACTTAGCTCAATAATTCTTTAGTTCATTTCTCAACTATTGCATAATTCCGATTGCGTAATTTCCAAATCATTTTGCAGAGATTTTTTTTTTTTTTTTTGGGAGAGCAAAAAGCAGAAATCCACTTTTCTTAGGGACATTGATTATAGCCAACTTCCAGATACATATGGATGCAAACTGTCGTTACAGGACTGCTAGTTTTCTTTTTGTGGCACGACAGTTTGTAGGCATGGCTGAAGAACTAGATAACAAGGAAATTTCAAATCTATATTCTATATCATCACCTTAACCTCAAAGGGGCTTAATCTTTTTATAAAACACTATTGACATTATAGATATGTATACTCTTGAATATTTATGAAGTTTAAATTAATATAAAAGTTTCTTTCCTATTCCCTTCTCCGTCTATGCTTTGCATGTATAATATGTTGTGTTGGCAGTACAGAGGTTACTGGGTTTTATGATTTACTCAAAGAGGACGGATCCCCTTTGCACCCTGGTATGGTTGAATACATGCCGTACAAAAATGCCCTCATTCGTAAATGAGGCATTCCTCAAACTTCCAGCTATACTAGTCATCTAAACACAAATGATTTCCTCATTCATCACCATAATTTCACATGACATAAGATATGTTCTAGGAACGCCAGAGTGTGTGTGTGTGTGTGTGTGTGTGTGTGTGTGTGTATGTATGTGTTGTAGCCCTCCTCAGCATGCATGATTCATTCTTCCTAGAATATTTAACTTACTTAAAAACTTGAATACCATAAATGACAATTACCGAATCACTGATCCATGAATACTCTAGCAACAACGGGGCATTAAAATTTATAAAAAAAAAGAAAAAGACAATATTTGGAAAACTACGTGTATAGGCAACGTTAAAACTGAAAATGCTCAACAAATCTTCTGTTTTATTATTCAGAACCTCTGCCCATCTTAAGACAGGCAGCAGATACAAAATCCAGAAAAACATAATAAATTCAGTCCTCATGTGTCGAGAAAAATACTACCATGACATTTTGCAGCAAGACTACTGCTCCACAAAAAATAATCTTTGCATAAATTCTCACCCAATTAGCAACTTGTTCTCGTCCAAGAAGCTGTATGTGGGTACCTCTAGATTGTATGGTGCTGGCCCCTTGCGGATCCTACCAGACACATCATAATGTGAGCCATGGCATGGGCAGAACCAACCACCAAAGTCACCAGCATTTGGCAGGGGAATGCACCCCAAATGGGTACAGACACCAACAACAATAAGCCATTCTGGATTCTTAACCCTGACTGCATCCTCCTGGGGGTCACGAAGCGATGCAATGTCAACGTTGTTAGCCATCTTGACATCATCTTCGGTTCTACGCCTGATAAAAACGGGTTTCCCTCTCCACTTGACAGTAACAGTAGTCCCAGGCTCAATGCTAGAGAGGTCAACCTCAAGGGAGGCAAGGGCAAGGACATCTTTGCTGGCTGACATGCTGAGAAGAAACTTGAGGATCAGAAGACGTATTAAGGAGGCATAAACAAACCTACCACCAGTCAAGACGAAATAAGCAAATGCACGCTTGCTGGGATCGCCAGGTGGGAAACGCTCATGATTATACTCATCGTAAATGATTTTTGAAGTAGGGTTCTTCACAGCTGCCATAGTAGCAGGGAGACCTGAGATCATTCCCATATCATGTCCTTGGGTGAGTGCTTCGGAAGACAAACCTGGAAGAAGGTAAAACAACTGTCAGATGCTATTACAAAAACACATAATATTGCTTACAAGTTACAATACAGCCAGTGGACATGAACCAAACATGTTAGCATTCTCAAGGTAAAGTATCAGGTTCGCATATCATGTAATCTATAAGGGAAAAAAAAAGAGAAAGAAACCCAAGCATACAGGCACAAGTTTTCAGGCCTTCACCAAAGTTGGCAACTTTTACATATCATAAATTGCAGCATGATAACATAACAACATTACAGCACAAAGGTCAAAGGCTTTTCTCTGAACAACATTGCTATTTAAATGGCACATGATCTAATTGAACTCATGAATGTTCTGAATATATTAACATGAAGTATAACAGTGACTTGAAATGTGAAAAATAATGTCCCATCATAAAATAATCCACGTGCATGTAGGTGGGTGCTTCTCACTTGCAAAGGAGCATTAGTTTCTTTACTTTCCATTTTTTATTCATACTTTCATTGAATATCAAGTATAAACACCAGGGATTTAAATAGCGGTCGCGGTCACGTTTTCGGTTGCGTAGCATTTATCGCGTTTTCGGATATAACGGAGATAATTGCGGTCACTGCGGTTATCACGGTCGTGAAATTTTTTTTTTTTTGCACAATTTATTATAAAATGTAATAATTATAATTATAATTATAAAAACTCTTATTCAATGATTTTAAAAATAGTTTATGACACTCTATGTTTTTTATTTTCTAAAAAAATTATTCACAATTTTATTTAGATTATAAAAAGCATTCATATTTGATTTATCCATAAAATTTTTTTTGGCCAAGTTCATATTCAATATTAATTCTAGATAAATCAAATATTAACAAAACATAATATGTTAAATACCAAGCATTTAATTTAATAAAATTACAAACTTAAAAATATAATAATTTCAAATTCCATCAACTACAATTATTGATACATATTTCAAATTTACCACATGGTAGAATGACGAGGAGGATCAGATTCTCTATCTTCACTTTGAGAGCCAAGTTGACTCCATCTCCATCCCTGAGACCTTTGTTCTTGATACATTTGAGGTGGAGGATATATTTGAGGATGATACATTTGTGATGGAGGGTACATTTGTGGTAACTGATACATTTGAGGTGGAGGATATATTTGAGGAGGTGGAGGATACATTTGAGGTGGATAATAACCATATGGAGGTGGATAACCATGAGGAGGTTGAAAATTATGTTGTTCTGGTGGATAGTAATGTCTTTGAGTACTAGCAGATGATTCACTATACTCAAAGTTACTAGAATTTGGTCTCTCACCTGAAGATGAAGAACCTCTAGAAATTTCATAGTGGTGCTTCTTTGCTTTTCCTTTTGATCGAGCTGTACGTGCACTTTGACCCTCACTAGATTCAGCAAATGGATTTCCTCTGTATTCTGCCATATTAATAAAAAGTCCACCAGTAGCAGCAAGCCCAAATTCTCCTCCAAGTGGGCTGTAAGGTCGATTTGCATCTATATTATCACCAAAATTCGCACCATCACCATCACCATCTCCATCACCATCATCATCTGGACTTAAACCACCACCATCATCACTCTGACTTGGTGTTGGACTTGAACTTGAATGAGATACATTCCTTTCTTGAGATTGACGTGATCGTTCAACATTCATTTCATTATCAGAATTATCTGCAGGTAACCAATCAGAGTTTTGACCATCTAATAGAGGATTTTCTTTCTCTTGCAGCCATTCTGTTAGTGAATCATCATCTTCAAAAATATGGTCAAGGCTAATAGGATTAAAACTATTATTTATTTCATCAATGCTCATTCTTTTTTGATGTCTCATCCTCAAGTATATACAAGTTTCTGGAGTCTTGCAAACTTCAATCTGTTTCTTGCTTTGGTGTGAATATAGCTAAATGTGCTCCAATTACGTTCATAATTTGATGCAGATGTTGTTTGACTAAGCACTTTGATTGCTAGTTTTTGTAATTCAGGAACACAAGTGCCATATATCATCCACCACTCAGCTGTATAAAATTATTTAAATTAAATTTCAATGGGCTATACAATTAAATAATATAAATAAATTATAATTATTTAACTTACTATTTACCTGGATTCATTTGCTTTCAAGCTCTTTGTGCTTGTGGACTACCAAATGTTTCATGCTTGTCTCGAAATAATAACAACTACATCATTGAAAATACAATAATAAATGAATAAATAAAAAATAATTTAATTTTTAATACATAAAACAAATGTTAAAGTTATAAAATAGTATTAAATACTAACCTGATTAATCATTCTGATTTGAGTATCTATCGAAGGTTTTAATCTTTCAATAACTGCTTTTATACCTTCTAATGTTTCCTTAAATACATTTGCAGAATGTTCCACTCCAAATTGAAATTGTGGATTTAGATAGTAACCTAAACATAATTTATAACAATATTATATTAAAGGAATAAAAAATAAATATATAAGCAATTTAAGTATAAAAAATAAACATATTTTTTAAATACCATCTATATTCTTGGTTTACTTACCAGCTGAATGCAAGTCAGAGTGCATGAAACTCCATCTATTGTCAATAATCTTTTCATATTCAGCAGAATAACGACAAGTTTGTTGAATTGCTTGTTTAGCTCTATCCACAGCCTTGTAAATAAAGCCCATTGTTGGTTTTTCATCACCATTCACAAGGCGCAACACTTTTACCAAAGGCTCATAAACTTTTATTATATCACCTGTTTTTTTCCAAAAATCTTTTCCCAAAATGATTTTTTTGACTTCATAAGCAGGTCCTGATTTTTGTTGTCCCCATTTTGAATCTTTAAATTCCTATATATTCATCAATAAATTTTTAGAGTAATATATTTTAAATTAATATTTTAAAACAATAATATTATAAAAAGATGCTAGATTTAAATAATTGTACTAATTACTAAGTACTAACCTTTGAATTGAACATCTCTCTCAAACTTTGCTTTTGCCTTATTATTTCTTCTAATTGTATGAAATGAGTGGCAAATCGGGTAAGAGCAGGACGAAGTATTTGCTTCCCTTGTGTATATTTCTTCATCAAATTAACAGTCCAAATGTGATTGTATAAAAAACAAGTCACTTTCTTTGCATCATCTAAAACCTTTGCCACATTTTTTTTCCTCCCAATATCTTCAAGGCACAAGTTCAACCAATGAGCTGAACATGCTGTTTAATACAAATGTTTTCTCTTCTCCATTAGTCTTTTTCCTGCGGCCTTAAGTGCTGCCTCATTATCAGTGACTATTTGAACAATGTATTTTTCTCCAATTTCTTCCACAACTTCATCTAATAATCTGTAGTAAAAGTTTGTATCTCTACTACGAACACTTGAGACATCTATAGATTTCCAAAAAATAGTACCTTTACTACAGTAAACAAGAAAATTAATGATATGCATTTGATTCAAACTATTGGTCCAACCATCACACATCAAAGTGACACCCAATTCATTCCAATAAGCTTTTAATCCATTAACCCATTCATGAACTTGTTGATACTCAGACTCTAAATACACATCTGAGACCTCATAAGGTGTTGGAAGTCTTACATGTTGGCCAACTTCTGCTGCCACAGAAATCAAATTATGCAACCATGAGGAATTTGCTAATTGAAAAGGAAGTCGATCATATATAAAAAATTTTGATACTGATTCACCCATTTTTCTTCTTAATGTCTTTAGAAATGAATCACTTACTTTTGGTTGTCTTGAACTTTTACTTCTAACCAATTCAGGAACAGCTCCCCTTAATGAAAATTCAGACTCATTTGGAGTTCTTGTTCTTTCTTCAAAATATTCAGCAACTGAACCATGAGAGCTTCGTCCTTCTTCATATATGTTACTCCAACCACTAGTTCTTTGTCTGAATTCTTGTCTTCTGTGCCACTCATGTTGTGATTGGATACTATCTCGCACGGCTTGTCTAGTAGCAATGTCTTCATCAATAAATCTTTCATAATCATCTTCCCTTCTTAACTGTGATAAAAATTCATTTTTTCTTCTTTTGTTGTCAGCCTTTTTTGATTTGCTTTCTTGAAGGAGTTTCATCATGCTTTCTCTTACTATACCTATTAATAATATAGTTTTAAAAAAAAGAAAAAATTAGTTGCACATGCTTATGTAATTTTATAATTTTTATTAAGAAATTAACAATAATATTTTCAAAGAAATTAAAAAAACATAACATACCAGTAACGTTGGGGCATGGTGCAACATTACCAGTTTTATGAGCAATGTGTTCTTTGAAACGTGTTATTCCTCCTTTTACAACTTTACCACAAAGTTTACATGAAACATTTCCTCTTGTATTTGGCACAGGTGTTCCAAAATGCCAACCTATATCATCACTTGGCGCGCCCTCTACTCCTTTACTCGGGAACTCTTCACGTGGTGGCATACTTACTATTTTGTATAAAAACAAAATAAACTTATATTTAGAAATATTAATATTACTTATTACATCATTAAAAATTGATTTTAGGCTAAATTTTTTAATTTTTAGTTTTTAATCTTAAGAATATTATTAAATAACTTAATCTTTTAGATGCACTAATTGATATTAATTTTTTTATCACAAATAACTTCAAATAATTATATAATAAATACAATCTTCAATAATTATACAAAAATAATAAGAATTAATCTAATATTAAAAGAATTGACAACGATATAAATATCAAAACAACAAAAAAAATTATTAAATTTCATATACAAAATTATAAATTAATATCTAACACAATCAAAATATAATATTTAATTTTAATTAATTTTTGTCTAACTTATATAAAAAATTTATCAATAATTTTCATCTACAATCTCTATGTATATCATATTAAATTATTAATCTTTTATTTTTTTTAATTATAAATCTTCAATCCCTCTAATTAGATTTTATCTAAAAAAAATTTCAAAAATTAAAAGTTTTCAAACTTATATTTTAATAAAATTTTCAAACCTATATTTTTTATTTTTTAGTTTTTAATCTTAATAAGAATAATAGATCATAAAATGCTAAATTTGTTAAGTAACTTAATTTTTTGATACAATAATTGATATAAAATTTTTTTATCACAAACAACTTTTAATAATTATATAATAAACACAATCTTCAATAATTACACAAAAATAACAAGAATTAATATAATATCAAAAGAATTGACAATAATATAAATATAAAAACAACAAAAAAAATTAAAATTCATATGCAAAACTATAATTTAATATATAACACAATCAAAATATAATATTTAATTTTAATTATTTTTCATCTAACTTATACAAAAAATTTTATCAAAATTTTCATTTAAAATATCTATATATTATATTAATTATAAATTTTCAAAACCACTAATTAAATTTTATCTAAAAAATTTTCAAAAATTAATTACAAAATTAAATAAAAAAATTCAATCCCACCTTCCATACACCCTACCACACTCAATCCCTCCCCACCCCATCAATCCCTCTCCACCTTCCCTCCCAACATCCCACCACACCCAATCCCTCCCCACCTTCCTCCCAACACCCTACCACACCCAATCCACACCCAATCTCTCCCCACCTTCCCCCCCAACGCCCCACCACACCCAATCCTCCCACCCCCCTCCAATCTCTCCACGTGCCTAAATATATCAATCTGTTTGACTCTTTCTAACAACTCGAGCCGAGACCATTCTAGAAACATTTCATTTTACTGTTCATCATCTTCTTCGTCTTTACTTTCTCTGGCTTTCCAGAAAAAAAAAATTTTTTTTTTCGTCTCTCATTTTCTCTCACATCCCTTTATCACTATCACTTGCTGACTTACCTAGTATCTACAGATCTCGTTCATCTTTCAAACTCTCACAAGACACAACAGATCGATCATTTTACAGAAATTTTACAAAAAAAAAAGGTAATTTAACTTTCTTTTCTTACCTTGTTTGATCTTGATTCTTGAATGTTGATCGAAAACTTGAGGTTGATTTGAATTTGAATGCCGAAAATGCCGTTTGAATGGTTGAAACTTGAAACTCTGTTTTCTAGCTCGTTTTACAATTTTTTTTTATGATAAAGATCTGAGATTGTGAGCTTTATTTTTTGATTTGGCTTTTACTTTTACTTTTGCAGGTTTGTTGTTTTATTTTGCAGGTGTAAAATTTTGTTTTTTTGTTAAAACTATTAGATCCGTGAGTAGAAAAACGGAATAGCGACAACAACGGTTCGTTATTGTCGCTATTGCCCGTTATGCCGTTATTTTACGGTCGTTATTCTCCGTTTTTGATGAGAATGAATTTTTCAACCGTTTTTTATACATTAACGGTGGCGGAAGGCAGCGCTACCGCAATTTTGCGGCCGCTATTCCGCTATCAACCCGTTTTTTGAATCCCTGATAAACACAATGTAGAAGAACAAGATTACACTCAAATTTAATTTAATAAAGCATAAATGAATGCGTACATCTTCACACAAGAATAACTAATTCTGCAACATCAAAAGCTACCAAATGCAAGTAGTGCATATCCTACGATTCAGTTTGAAATCATTTGCCAGACATGATGAGGAATTTAATGATAAATAAACAAATATTGAAAGTCCAAAAACCAGGTTATTTAATTCTATATTCTTCAACTTAGCTGCAATTAAAGCAAAAATCAAATCTAGTATATCATAAAAGCAACAATATCATCGAAAAGAAGAATAGAGAAGGAAGAAATCAAGCAGATAGGTCATGGACACAAGTAGAACCCTATAAATTTGGAAAGTTAAAAAATTAAAAGGGAGAAAACTTAAACCTCTGATTAGATTCGGAAGCTGAGAATTGAAGGAGAAGGGAGAAAGAGAAGGAACGGATCTGGAAATGGAAGATGATTCAGAAGCTACACTGACTCCATCATTAAGGCGATAGTACTGAGAGAGAGTAGAGCAGGACCTCCATGGAAGAGACAAGAACCTCCTCCCTGCAATTTTCAGCATCTTTCGATCTTATTTGATTGCTTAGGGTTTCGACGGAGTACTTCTCTACCCTGAAATTTTAACAGCTCTACCAGAACGAAGGGACGAATTGTCTGGCAGTATCCTAATATGCCATGAAGAAATGCCTTTATAGCGGAAGCGAAACGACATGTCGTTTTTTATGTTTTTGAATGTGCTCATATGCTACGTTGTCGTTTTAAAGCTGAATAACGAGTTTAGTAGCTTCAGAAGTGGCCGGGCACGAATTTTATTTCACTTAAAATTCTTTTACCGTAACAAGTTACATCACAGCAAAGAATTATGTAAAAATCTATCATTTAAAATTATGAATTAAAAAAAAAAAGAAAACCTTTCCACTGATACCCACATTTCGTATATGGCTATACTTATTATATAGCTTTAGATCCACTTTCAAATTTTAATATTCTGTCATCCAAATCAGCCACGAAACAATTCTGTCAAAATTGAAAATCCTACAACAAAGTAACAAGAAGATCAACATGCAGTACTTCAGATACATGAACAGATTATTGGGTACAAAATGTAAATTCAGATCTTTTAATACCGTAGACCCTTGAATTCATCATGAAAATTATAAGAAACTCCAAATTGAATATTGTGTTATTATGTCAACAACTGTGTGCTGGAATCCCTCAAGACTCGATCATCCGCCGACCCAGACGTGTGATGCGGGAAATTTGCCCACACATCTTCCCATGTTCTCTGTCCATCAGTAACAGACTTAACAACAGATGCTGCCTCTTCCACATCAACACGGACTTGGAGCCTGCTGTCTCTCTCCCGGATTGTCACATCTTTCGTTGAATCAACAGTTATGGCAAACGGTACACCAAGTTCATCCGTTCTTGCATACCTTTTACCTATTGAGGTACCTGTAAATATCAGAAGGGAAAAAGGGATGAGTTGAAATTCACAATAACTCATAGGATTGAAATGGCTGGCTCTCAAATTATAGAAACAAGAATATTGCTATAGTAGCATATATAAGTTGAAGTCGAATATGTCAACTGAGGACTTGATTTTTCAGTTTACTTCCTGAACCATTTTAAGCAGAAGTTTATTGGCCAGAAAAATTTTTCTGCACGAGCAAAGGGAGGTTTAAAGAAAAATACTTATATGAATGAATGCGGGATTAAGATTCTGCGCATATCTATGCAGGAACATGCAAGTAAGATTAAAGAGTTATCATTCATCCTAGTCACATACCTGTGATGTCTATCTTATGTGAGATTCCAGCAGCTGTCAATGACTTACAAATAACTTTGGCAACATCCTCATATTGTTGGTTTTGAACTAGCGGAAACACAGTACATTTGATAGGGGCCACAAGGGGAGGAAACCGGAAAACATTTAACTGCTCATCCCCAGCTTTGCTTGGTCTTGTGTAGAAAGAGTGCTCAAAGAGGCAATAAATTATCCGTCCAATTCCAAAGGATGGTTCAATCACTGATGGTGTAAACACTCTCTGGTGTTCTTTCTTTTTCTCCTTTGAAATTGAGACCATATTCCTTTTAATGGGTATATTTTTCCCAAGAGTGCAGACATAGAATTCCACCTCCCCTTTGGATTCCAGAGCAGCCTTCATTTCCAGAGCTTCTTTTTCATTCATTGCCTAAAAACAGAAGAAATTCATGCATTACAGTGACATGGGCAGCCAGCACATGAAATGAAATATTAGATGGTCAAAAATCTATTTTATCATTTACCTCTAAAGCTTCAACCACATTCTTTTGGTTTCCCTTGAATGCAAGGCCCAGTTCTTTCTTCACAGGAGCAATAACCAGTTTCTGAATATATGAACCATGAGTCAATTTACTTATAACTTCAAACACTAGCACTAGGATCTTTTGATGTATTATGAACTTATAAGTCATGTGATCTTAACATTAGCACTAATATATGACAACAATATGGGTAATCAGCAAAAATACCTCCACTTCTCTAGGTTCTGAAAATTTCTCAGCAGCCACAAGCGGAACACCACTTTTCTCCTGACATAAAAACAAAATGACGCTGCATGATTATTATAACCATTTAGTACACGATTTTTGGGTAGAAAATAAGGTTTAGTATTAGTCTTTCTTTTCTTTCAAAAAGAAATATTAGTCTTTCTTTTCCTGTTTTATCTAGCTTTTGATAGCAAGGCTGGGTATCAGTTTACTCATTAATGTAGCTAACAAGTCACACCAGTTGGATGAATAAGCACCAGATTTGTTATGATAAAATTAGTCGTAGCCCTTCTTTGTGTCTCATAGTACACTCTTAATCTGAAACTCCTAAATACAACTAAGCTGACCAGCTTACCCTCATAAATTCTGCTATTAAGATATTTTTAAATGATCACCTTAACAAAGAAAAGACAGTTAAGATGAAGACATAAACCAAGATCTTACCGAGTGAGCATGCAAGTCATAAGCAGACCTATCTGCAATACCAACACATTCAATCCAACCATATGAACACTCAATCTCAGCATCCCAACAGTCGGCAGCATAATGGGCCATTTCATTTGCAAGATGCTGCCGGAACCGTAAACGGTCTTTGTCTATACCAAGGCGAGTTAGGAAGAGATAAACTCTCCCAATAAAGTAGCCAAGGGTTTCATTGTTGACAATTCCCTAAACAGCAATGAAGCACAACACCATCACAAAAGGGTACGAAGAGAGATGCAAACAGAAAAAAAAGAAATGGTCAAGTTTCAACCAACCTTTGAAACTGCATCACCAAGGCGTACTTTCTTTGCAGATTGGCCAGACATTTGCTCTTCCCTTGGGAACATCAGGAACGCCAAGTTAACAACTTCAGAGTATTTTGGATGAGATTTGTCTTCAGGATCAACAAAGTGCTCAATCTCTGCTAGAGTGAATTCTCGAACCCTCAGAAGCCCTTGGCGAGGGGATATCTGTACATATAGAAATTGTGTCATCAGATTTGAAATCTCTCCCACTTTACATAATTTAATGTGCATTAATGAGGACAACCATCTTAATAGCCTAGAAAGCAATAAACCGATAAACACCAGCAGCATATAGCAGGAGAGATGAGACAACTTTAGTTGGAAAAATCTCAGTTGCACAATGGCAGCAAGTTTAGAAAGACAGAAAAAAAAAATCCAACAAGGGCATAAATTGACATCTTTTTCAGATTCAAAAACAGATTTTAAGACCTCATTTCGAAAAGCCTGACCAATTTGGGCTGCAGCAAAGGGAAGCTTGTTCCCATTGTAATAGTACAAGTCTTTAAAATTCACAAATATTCCTTGTGCTGTTTCAGGACGCATATACCTGCAGCAGACCAAATGACACATGACTCTTTAGATATGATGCTACATTCATGTTGAACAATTACGGAAAAAATATCATGAAGTCAGCAAACTCTGGCACCAGTAAAATAAGTAAAATACATGTTTTGAAAATCAGAGCCCACAGATTTCACAAACTACATACCAAATTAAAAACACTTACCCAGGGCTCAAACCAGATGGACCAATTGATGTTTGGAACATTAAGTTGAATGGATAAGGTTCAGAGAGAGGATTCTTAGTGTCTGGTGCAGTAATACCATACTCTTTGATCTTTGCACCTAGCTCTTCAGCCGAAAGATCGTCCAATGTAGCAAGTGCATGTTTAAGCTCAGCAGCCTTCTCTGCACCGATGCTGAGGTCTTTCTGAAGCTTCTCATTGCAGAAATCCTTAAGCAAGTGATCAGCTCGATAGCAAGTCCCAGTTTTGTCATCCTTAACCATATGGTCAGTAAATTTATCCACGTGACCAGATGCCTTTAGGACAACCTCAGGTGTCACGCATGGACAGTCAACCTCCAACATGTTCTCCTCAAGGACAAAGTGCTGAAAAAAGAGGTAATTCAAACAAGGTAAATTGGAACTGTTTTGGCTTTAGTATATAATTGTCCATTATGATCTTACATCGACGAAACTATGCAAGTAATACTATCACAATGGCTTTAATTTGCTTTGAAATAATTGAAACAAGAAACAGCTCCGAATCCAATCAATTTTTATATATATCATCCATTAAATAAACATCCGCATTTGGCTTGATCCTTCACAATTGCTGTCAAAATAAATAAACATCTCAAAACTTGCTAGAGCTATAGGAATACCATACCTGACGCCAGAAAGCAAGAACGTTGGATTTAACGGCACAACCGGGCGGCCCATAGTCATAAAGCCCAGCAACACCCCGATAAATCTTGAAAGACGGGATGTAAAACAAACGCCGTTCTAAAGCATTTACAGCGGCTTGACGGAAGGCTTCCCTGCTAAGAGCGCAATCTCCATCGTTACCACTAACGGCAGCTTGGAGCTGCTTCTCGATCGAAGATTTCTCCAGCTTCAAGCTGTTTAAGGCCGCGATTGCAGCGTCAATTTCCCGCTCCGAGGCCTTGGCCGCTTTCAGTGCTCTCACCGCGTCGCCCTGCGCTTCTACAGCCGATTGCTTCTCGGCTAGAGCTTTGCGGAGCGATTCCTCGGCTGCGGCCATCGACCGTTGTTGTTTACTGTAGAGAGCGTGTAAGAGGCTGGAGGAGAAATTGTGACCTGAGGAAACTGATAAGGATATGAGAGTGAAGAGAAAGAGCATGCGAATCCGACGACAGTTAGTATAGTGCGTGAAAACCAGAACGCACTAGGGTTTTAAAAGGGTATATTGGCTTGGGCTCAATATTCATCTTTTCCTTTTAATTATACCACTTTTATGAAATTGATCGGAAGATAAATTTTCATAATGATGTATTTGAATTTGTATTTTATTTTATAATATAAATTAGCTTTTTTTAAAATTATATTTATAATAAAATATTATATTCATATAATTAATTATTATATTATTAAATAATTAATTAATAAATTATAATTTAACTAAACAATCAAATATTAGAGCATAACCTAAATTTAAAACCTTAAAATTATAGGGTTTTTTTTCTATCACTAAACTAAAATCTCATTGATATAATATAAATTAGTTTATAACTTATGTGATGATTAGTTTTAATTATCTAAATATGTATACATTATACACACAAAACTTATTATTGTTTATATAGCTATATCCAAGTCTTCAAAGTTA